CTCTTCCAGGTATGGTTCAAAAACCGTCGCGCCAAACACCGAAAGCGGCTGAACAATATGCGAAGGGGGGAGGTCGATGAAGAGCTCGATGGAGCAGATGAGCGAGACGCTGACACACAGCCACCACCCACAAAGATGAGCCCGAAGAATGATGGGGCCATGATTAGTGAGTAATTAGAAGGATTACGGTATATTGGACATCCTTTAGCGTGGACTCCTGGTTCGATGTTTGGGCAAGCCGGGATACCGTATCCAGCGTCGTTTTATCCGTTTAATGGGATGTCATGGCCGATGGTGGGTTTTTTGGAGGGAGCGAGAGCGAGAGATAAAGCGAGAGAGAGATAGAGCGCTAAAGGGTGAGAGAGAGCGAGAGAGGGGAGAGAGGGAGAAAGAGAGAGTGAGATGGAGAGAGAGAGGGAGAGAGAGAGGGGAGGTAGAAGAGAGAGAGCCATAGAGAGAGTGCAGATAGTGAGAGAGTGATCGCGTGCGAGAGAGCTAGATCGAAAGAGAGCTCCAGCGCGAGAGAGACAAAAAGAACGAGGGAGAGAGAGAGAGCGTGAGCGAGACCGAGAGCAAAAGGCCGGATTAATGATAGTTCTCGCCAACATCATGTAACACTAACCAATTCCCTATATTTACCCGTTGCTTGGATAATCGGTCAAAATGGTTGTGCACAAATAATGCTCCCCGGCCACGATATCGAGTTTCACCCCTCCCAAAAAACATGTCAAGTGTCCTGGATAGTTTTTGAAAGCTACCGATTGCTCCTTGTATTGTATTTCCTAAAGAATCTCCGCCCGCTCGCCTCTGTATGTGAAAATTGGCAGAGAGATTGTGGAAACCACAGAAAATTCTGTACTTTTTAGATTCCAACCTTCCCCGACTTCTCGCCGACGCCCGCCAATGTGAAAATGTGATAATTTACAGATGCATTTTCATGAATCTTGAGAAAAAATAAAATAAAGTTGATGGTATCTGAGACTGTGCAAAGTACGGCAAAAACAAATGAGGAAACTTCCAGCTGCGCGCAAAAAACCCGGGAAAATAGCGCAAGATTGAAAGAGAGACAGGGAGAGGGAGAGAGAGAGAGGGAGACAGAGAGAGAGAGAGAGAGAGAGAGAGAGAGAGAGAGAGAGAGAGAGAGAGAGAGAGAGAAATATAGCGAATGGAATGTGGTCACAACAAAAATAAAATAGCCAAAAAATAGGGTAAGGCACGTTTGCGAGCGTCATTAAATCGAAATTAATAATAATTTGAATGTTCTTGGGATTTATGCAATTTGGGTGGGGGCCGATTCGCTTCTCGGGACGACCTCCTTCCAGATGAACCACGAGTTCAGCGCCAACGTCGCCACCAGCACCCAACCGGACAGCTAGAAAGGATTTCTCTCTATCTCTCGCTCTCTCTCCCTCGCTTTTCCAGGCAACTTACCACAGAGATCGTTAGCATTCCATTATTCGCCGACACTCCTACAAAACTCCCCCATTTTTCAGGAGCTCCAGCAATGATTGCCTTCACATGCTCTTCGCTAAATCGTGGCTTAAATACCGTAATCCTGGTTACTCTACCTTGTCTGCCCGCCGATACCATTGGCGGCTGACCACCAGATGGAGGTGCAGAAAAACCAGAAGACGAACAGGAGGGCCGTGACGGCGAGGTCCTAAAAAAATTGGACATTTCTCTCGCTATCTTGCTCTCTCTCTCTCTCTCTCTCTCTCTCTCTCTCTCTCTCTCTCTCTCTCTCTCTATCTCGCTCTCTCTCCCTCTCAAGCTGTCCCGGTCTGGATGTCACCATCCCTTTAAAACCCACCGCCAACGGGATTCGCTTGTCATTACTGTAGATTTGCCATAGGACCACGTAGGAAAATGTGACGATCAACACGAAGATCAGCGTGACGACGGCCGTAAAATAGAAGAAACCGGCAGCACTGGAAGTGGAAGGTTTTGTTGGCGAGAGAGAGCAAGAGAGAGAGAGAGAGAGACAGAGATAGAGAGGGGGAGAGAGAGAGAGAGAGAGAGAGAGAGAGAGAGAGAGAGAGAGAGAGAGAGAGAGAGAGAGAGAGAGAGAGAGAGCGAGCGAGAGAGATATGAGAGAGAGAGAGTGAGAGAAAGAGCTTGAGATTGACTTACCCTCCAGCACCATCCGTCCAAAACGTGGATTTGCCTCCATCACATGTCTCCAGCTGGTGGGAGGCCATTCTGTAAATTTTTCCGGTTTACAGACACTTGGAAATTTTTCAGAATTCGGAATAGAAAAAGTCGCGCTTTTATTTTCCGTCTATTTAAACCCTAATTAACATACGAAAATGTGGTGGTCTTCGCTTGGATCGGCGACTTTGTCGTATTTGTCGTCGGATCAACGCAAACGTACGTCACGTCGGCGTGCCAGGAATTGGCTGCTGCTAGAGCGATGACGAGAAATACCTGAAATATTTGGGATTAGGTCTCTCTCTCTCTCTCTCTCTCTCTCTCTCTCTGTATGTCTCTTTTTCTTTCTTCCTCTCTCGCTCTCTCTTTTTATTGCTCTCTCGCTCTCTCTTTCTCACAATCTCAATCAACCCAAAAACTCACAAATTGGATGACCCTGATGAATCCGAGCGGATACTTGAAGACGCTCACGTTCAGCCCACCCTCCGCCATCACGGACACGAGTCTGGAGAAGAACATTTGTAGATAATACGCAGCGATACAGCCGGCGCAGCGATACGGAACATTTCAATATTCGCAATTTTGGGGTAGCCCCGCAGATGATTCAACGTGTTTGGGGGGAGAATGGCTGGGAAACAGGGTGACACATTTCGATTCAAGAAAACTCCGAAAAATTCCAAATTCCACTAGTTGCTCGAAAATTCATGGATTGGATAATGGTGGAAGCTGGCGCAGATTAAAGTAACGGAGCCTAGGATCTCGAGTTTTGCGTTGCATCGTAGATTCGCGATTTAGCATAGGTGTAGCTTTACGTGGCTATGCGCAGCGCCTAGAAGCTACCTTTTTTGGTGAATCAAATTTCATCGTAAGAAATAGAAACGTGGTAGGGTCTGATGTAGCAGAGCGTACTTTAGCGTAGTCTAACGTAATTCCCTGTATCGGAAGGCATAGCCGATCGTACCGTAGCGAAAAGGTTCATATTTCTAGGTAAAGTGGCGTATCGCATTCGTAACTTAAAACTAACTTAAAGTAGGCATTAATACAAAATTTAGCCTTTTGAAACGCAATATTCTGCAAATATTATAACATTAAATGGGATAAAAGAATATCCGAAAAGAAAGGCTAAAAGGGGAACCAAGTGGAGGTATCCGGGATCGATTCCCGATTTGCCCTTCCCCCTCTCATCCTCGCCCTCCATACAAAGGATCTTGTTTTCGGGAGGGAGACCGGGCGTCCCGCAACGCTCGATGCAGCTTGCCCGAAAATATGCAAAAAATAGTTTCAGAACGATTGGGAATTAGCAAAAACCGGAAACATTATCGGTATATTTTAGAAGCCATGAGTTTTCCGGAAATTATCTATCATCTCCGAAGAGTAAACAAAGTCAATTGTAAGCCAAAGTAGTCCAGTTATCGGCACGAGAGAGAAAGAGAGAGCGAGAGAAAGAAAAAGAGAGAGAGAGTGCGATCAAAATACCCTAAAAATTTTGCGCACGGGTCCAATCAATATATTTGGGGAGGCGCCGGGCTGATGCATGCGTGGGGGATGCATGGATGGGGCGCGGCGTGTGTCGGCGAGTGGTTTCGACTGTTTACCTTTTTCACCCCTGAAACTCACAACATTTCACCAGTACCAACTTTTCCACTCAAAACAAGACCGGCATCGCAAAACCCAGTAATAAGACGCAACAAGTAATGCTAGGGAATTGAGGTAATGTGGTTTAAAAGCGTCGCAATTAGCCTTTATGAGGACTGGAGAGGAATTTCGATTAACCTTACGATTGTACGTTAAAAGGAGCCGGAAACTTGTTGATTGTCCATTTTTCGGGGGTAGACACGGGGCGAAAACTGCCGCCGACCTCCCGGGGAACAAACAAGCTGATAAGCGGTACCCCCCCCACAACCCATGGATCGGGTTGTATTTTGTTGTGAAACGGAACGGATGAGGACATGGTAGAGAGCGAGCGAGAGAGGGAGTGCGAGAGAGAGAGACAGGGACAGAGCTATCAATGTTAATAGCCTGGGTACCTTCTAGAAAAGGGGAAAGAGATTCCTCAGAAAAAAACTTTCCATCTCTCTCTCCCTCTCTCCCTCTCTCGCTCCTTCTCTCTCTCACTCTCGCTCTCTCTCGGCGATCAGTGACAATTTGTGAAATCCCCCTGCCAAATTCCTTTAATCGACCCCAATCCAATCCCACCCACGATTCTTATGAGGTGATAAATCTTGGCCAAACAGCCAGCCGGGACACAAATCAGCGGTTTTCGGGGGGAAGTGAGGGAGTGAGTGGTGTGCCCCCCCTGGCGGGCTATATGAGTTGTTAGGTGCCAGTCGTAGTCAGCACAACCACCCGTTACAGAAAGAAAAACGGACCGACTCGAAAAGCCCTCCCGGGGTGGGTGTAATGGGGTGGGGAGGAGGGAAAGGAGCAGCAGCTCAAGCACAGAAAGATATACAAACACGTAAGGTAGGGCCAAAATATTACTCTCTGTTTATATCTCTCGGTATCTCTCTTTCGCCCACTGTCTCTCGCTCTCTCTCTCTCTCTCTCTCTCTCTTTGTCTATGCACCGCTTTCTCTATGTCTCTCGCTTTCCGTCTATCTCGGTCTATCTACCGCTCTTGCTCTCCCTCGCGCTCTCTCTCTCCACTCAAAGTCTCGGGAAGGCAATCTAGCAGTGACCCTTTACGAAAATCGTTCCCGATTTCTGGATTCGTCAAATTACGACACCGTTATTTATTCAAAAATACACAAAACAAAGCCACAACTACAAAAGATATACCCGTGTATTCACAAGGACAAATGAAAGAGGATTGAGAATATTGAACACATGAGAGGAGTGGAGGGATTGTTTTATGGCATCTGCCCGGTCCGGACGTAGTATCTGAAGGTAATAGGAATGTACCGTAAGATTGGCGAAGGCCTACCGTAGCTGATCCTCCGAATTGACGACGACCAGTCGACGCTTCACTACGTGGTCGCCGGCGAGGGCCAGAAGTTGTTGCTCAGCTGAAAGGAGAGCGTGAGGGCTAACAGAGGGCATTGGGGAAACATTCCGGAAAACGCAATGGAACATACCAGCAGAGATCCTTGGGGAAACTGCAACCTTGCTCACTCTCTCTCTCTCTCTCGCTCTCTCTCGCGCTCTCTAATACTCTCTCTGCCTGACTCCGATTTCCCTCGATCCGCAAAGATGGAGAGACGGTGAGAGTGAGATCGAAAGATAGAGAGAGACAGAGAGCGCGACAGAGAGCGAGAGAGCGAGGGAAAGCGATATAGAGAGAAAGAGAGCGAGAGAGCTAGAAAGTCAGAGAGAGAGACAAAGCGAGAGAGAGGGAGAGAGAGAGAGAGAGAGAGAGAGAGAGAGTGAGAGAGAGAGAAATAGTGGCAAAAGACAAGCCAACGCAAAAGACAAAAAGATAGGCAAAACCTACTATTAATGGCCGGTGTCCTTCCCAGCATAGACGATAGCCCAATTTGTCGTTGTAGATTTGGATCTGCCTCTAGTGCCCTCCTAATATCATCCAGGGTCAACCCCCGCTTGGCCCTCCCCTTCGCGAAGGGCCCCACATCACAGCCATCAACATGCGGGCATTCCGTCTGAAAATATCGACATTATGGCTGCTTACTATAGCCATTCAACACAATTTTTGCCATGATTTTTGGAAAAATACGGTACCTGCGGGCATTCGGCAAATGGGCACACCCTCACGAGACAGGTGTACTGTACGTGGGCAGTTGTCTGGTAGCGGAATGCTTCGATGGAAACCTGAATACTACATTTTCCCAAAAAAATGCGAAAATTGCTAGTTTGTCGAGATTTTTGAACGCCATTGGATAGAGCATCAAAAATTATACTACCTCAGAATTTTGGCCCTAAATAATGTATGACAAAAAGTTATAGTACTATCAAATTATACTACGAGACACTACTCCGTACCATCATGCCGTGATCGGTAGATGCGGGCGGGCAGGCGAGTCCAACCAAATCTGAGGGGCATCCATCGCGGATGATCGGAAGAGGCTCCTTCTCCCAGTCATATCTGAAGCTCAACTTGATTGGACCGCTCTCTCTGTCTATGTCTCTCTCTCGCTCTCTCTCTCTCTCCCTTCCAAGTCCTTTTAAAACCGCCTAAAAACTCACCTCGGATCAATTGGCTCCACCTGACAACCCCGTACGGACATGTAGCGGGCTGAAAATGGTTTTTTGCTTTGGAAAACTGAAACTAACGGGGTATCGGGAAATGCGGGGTGAAGTCGAGAATAATTCGATTTCCGACAACAACTGCTTCAACCGGGCGCCCATTGTGAAAGATGTCAAATGTGACGGGTTGACGGGGTTTGGCGCTGAAAATTTATAGAATTTTTGGGGTAAAGGCAATTGAAACGACAGGATGGGACATATCACGTTCTCTCTCTCGCTCTCTCTATCTCGCTCTTTCTTTCTCTCTCTCTCTCGCTCCTTCTCTCACTCTCTGTTATGCTCTCTCGCTCCAAAAATCGAAAAACTAACCCGTGTTGTTCAGTGCCAGGTGGCCCAGCCGTGGTCGTCGTCGTCGTCGTCGTCGTCGTCGTCGGGGCGGTGTGTGGCTCGAACGGCTTCGCCGGCGCACGTGCCAAGTGGACGTTATCGTTCCAGTTCACTTCCGCGGTTGGCTGAAAGGAGTAAATGATCTTTCTAGGGAATAGGTTTTTTGTGCGCATCACTACCTACTTGTCGAAACTCACCTTTTTGGTAGTGATCGTTGTCGTACTTGTCGAAGTCGTCGTTGTGGCAGTAGATGCTCGAGTGGTTGACCTGGCTGTCGTGGTAGTAGTTGTACTCGTCGAGGTCGTGGTTGTAGTGGTGGTAGGTCTACATTGAAGTTGTAGAAAGGCGGGAGATTTTTCGGTGTACTCTCTCTCTCTCTCTCTCTCGCTCTCTCTCTTTTTCTCGAACTCAAAACCGTCTCAACTAATGGCAAGCAAAATAATCAACCAAATTACCGCGGTGTACTTGTCGAAGTAGTGGTACTAAGAGTAGTAGTTGTGGTAGTCGTAGATCTGCTTGTACTGCTTGACCTCGTCGTGGTCACCGTCGGCCTAGCGGTTGTTGTAGTAGTTGTGTACACACTCGTAGTCGATGGCTGGGTTACGGTAGGCCTGGCGGTTGTCGTCGTAGCGTACACTCTCGTCGTCGAGCCGGTAGATGAACTTCTAGCGGGCGTTGTTGTACCCTTCGTCAAGACTTGTGGCGTGTTATCCTCAATCAAAAGCGGAAGTTTATAGGTGTCCTTGGTAGTCGTCGGCCTCGGGGTGGTCCGAGTCACGGAAGACGAGCTCCCAGCTTGATTTATCAAGGTAGGGAGGGGAGTTCTGGACGGCTGGAACGTCTTGGCCCCTGGGTTCCGGGGTGGACTCGTTGAAGTTGATGTGGTAGTTGTGTTGATGATCATTGGGATGGATTCGCGGACGCTCTCGCGGCCCAACTCAGAAAATAGCGCGTGCGCCGAGGCGGCAAACTGATCGGCCGTGATATCGTTGGTGGATGGGCTGCAAAAAGATAAAAATAGGCCAAAAGAAAAAAATGAAAAGCTGATCGCCACAGCGGGGATTGAACCCTGGTCGTACGGATTGGAGGCGAGAGCGTAACCAATGGGCCACGGGCTTTGAGCCGAGTTTCGTAGTTTAAAGGAATCGTGCCAGGATAAATGCCTTTTCAAAAGCGTTTTTTCAGTTTTAGCAAATTAAGTTAACTCATCTGATTTAATCGAAAAAAGCCGATTTTGCCATTAACAAGGTGTGGTTTTATACTATACGAAAATATATTATTAAATATAAATAAAAATTAAATAAAGCAGGCTTAGGCAAATAAAATTAAAATTATTGCTGGGTGTTAAATAAATTAAACTTATCAACCTAATTAAATTTAAATTCAGATATCATAATTTTATCGTTAAAAACCTTAAATAAAATTAACTCACGGAACTTCCGGATAGTGGTTAAGCGATCGAGCCGGCGTCGATGTTAAGGGAGCGATCGGGCACCTGAAATTCGAGGTTTTAGACTTGGAGCTTGCTGGCACTGTCCCTTTAAAAGCCCAAGTGAGCGACTACGCTCCACTCCAAAATACGGACTTTGCCTGGAAGGTCATATCGTCGGGGGTGATGAAATATAGGGGCTCAACGCCGTCCGTCGACAGCACCACGTCCAGCACCATGTCGTTGCCCTGGAAACTGATCGTGACTAATGCGTATGCTAGCGTATCTTGGCGTAGCTCTGCGTAGCTTAACATAGGCTAGCGTCGCCTTACGTAGTTTGGCGTAGCTACATAGTCTACTGTATCTTTGCGTAGCTCGGCGTAACCTAAGGTATGCTTGCGTAGCCTTACGTAGCGTAGCGTAGCTTACGGTCGTCTTTCGTGGCCCTACGCAGCTCAGCTTACTTAACGTAGACCAGCGTAACCTTATGTAACTTAACGTAGCTAAAAGTGGTGCATATTATTTTGTTTCCCAAAATCCGATTGTTCTTTATATGTAGCACTTTATTGTAGCCATTAATGCATGAATTTTCCTCTAAGACACACCCACCTTATACCGTATACTATCGCTGCACCGCTTGCTCTTGGTGGGCGAGGGGAAGAAGTACTGGAACCGGGTCTGTTCCTTCGGCTCGATACGACAGGTGAAGAAGTCGTAGAGTCCTGAAAATTGCGTTAGACTACAAATGACAGCCACTACCATATAGAGCCCCGGTGTACGGGAACTTGCTGTCGATCGTCACGAGAACGCCGTCGTCTTGGCATTTGTACTCAAACTTGTAGCTGTCCGTTACTAAATGAATGGTGATCGACAGACGGGCCTTCTTTTGAGCTGAAGCTCAGCCCTGAGCCTAACCCTAAGCCTAAGCCTGCCTAAGCCTAAGCCTAAGCCGAAGCCTAAGCTTAAAGAGCTCGTTTCGAGCATCTTCAACCTACAATTGTAGCAATTGTTCTCGTAGTAGTCGATACGGTAGTTGGGGTTGTTGTTTAGGCGGATGGCTTTCGGCTTGGTCAACTGGTTGTTGGCCGACATGTGGCAACCACCGTCGGTTCGGTTGAATGACAGCGAGCGGCACGGGAACCTGAAGGCGTTCAGACGTTTTAAAGAAAGTGAGACAGGGCAGCGGGTGAGAGAGAGCGGGGGAGAGTGAGAGCGAGACGCAGACACTCACTTTTCCTCGTTCAAACACTCGGCCAGACAGTCCTCCAGGCTGCTTGTGTGTCGCACTTCGATTACCTAAATGCGATAAGTTTTCAACAACCATGGAAGGAATTTTTGACTTCTACGGTCCTTTAAATTAACAGAACATACCTCTGTCGCTTCCATGTATCGATCGGACATGAAGGTGAAGGCGTGGTCATTGCCGCACTGCTTGTGGGCTAAAGATTTTTTTCGCCAGAATGCGAGCGATAGAGAGCGAGAGAGAATGAGAGAAAGAGAGAACAAGAAAGGACCAAAACCGATAACTCACAATCCACACAATACCGCCAGTAGAACGAATACCGATCGTCGGCCTCAACGAACCCATCGACATTTTGGAGTTGGTGGGGCTAAAATTCGTCTTTTTTCCTTTTTCCTAAATGGTCTTCGCTCATCTGCCCTTCTTCGTTAGTTTAGCGTACTTAAAGGAACTGACAAGCCTAGCTAACGACCGAAAAACACGAAAAATCATACCTGAAAGACGTCACAGTGGTGGTTAAAGTTGTCAACCGAGGTTTGATGGTTGAGCGCGGCACATTCGAGGGATTTGCCTGAAATAGAGGGTTTTGGGCGCTGTCACTATCCCTTTAAAGCTCCTGCCGGTCTCCCTTTAATCCCGACCTGCCATCACTGGATCTTCCCCCAATGAGCAAGCGCTTTGGCATGCCTTTAGCGATAGCTTCCCGGAAGCGACGGCCCGGAAGTTCAGCCGCACCCCCGGCCATCGAACGTACAGCGAGTTCTTGCAGCTGCTGGCTAAACGTTGGGTAGATTAGTGGTACTGTAGGAGAAGCATCCGGAATTGGTGGTCTTACCATGGGCCAGGCCGATGAGGGCCAGCAAGGCGACCAGCACCCGCATTGGGATCGAGGGGATGAAAGCTGGAAATGAGGGTTTGGAGAGAGAGAGAGAGAGAGAGAGAGAGAGAGAGAGAGAGAGAGAAAGAGCGAGAGAGCGAATGAGAGAGCGATAGAGAGAGAATGCGAGAGTGAGCGAGAGCGCTAACGTGCGAGAGATAGAAACAGATAGAGACCGCGAGAAATACCGTGAGAGAGAGAGAGAGAGAGAGAGAGAGAGAAAGAGAGAGATAAGGAGCGAGAGCAGGTAAAATAATGAGCAATTTTCAAATACATGTGGAAAAGCTGGCAAGCTAGCAGTGACAATTTCGGAAAATTCGCCTACTACTTCATTGCAAGATCCATCCATAAAAAGCTTGAGCATACCATCGGCTGACTAGCCGCTGTTTGCGGAATACAAACTCACAGAGAGAGAGAGAGAGAAATGCCCCCAAAAATGGAGCACACGAGCCGGATATGGACCCGCGGGCTCTTCAGCGGGGCCGGTTCCCGCTGACCCCTGGCAACCAGTCTATTCTGCGCCCTTTTTGGTATGCCCGAATGCATGCGATGGCACAATGGAGAGGTTTAAATGGACTGGGAAGGCAACGTTAAAATGGTTTTGGCAATGTGACAATGTCAGTTCTGGTGTAGATAAAGCGAAAAAGAAGCAGAGCCGGAGAGAGAAAGAGAGTGAGAGAGAGAGAGAGAGAGAGAGAGAGAGAGAGGGAGAGAGCAGAGATCATTTGGGAAATTGCTAAAGTTAAAGCGTTTTGACTAGAATATCTTCTAAATATGGGTCAAAGGTTTGGGTTCCGACTTTCCACCGGGCCGTCAGTGTCATACTGTGAGGCGGAATTTGCATCGTCTCGTCCTCCCCATCTGCACAACTCGGTCAAACATCGCTAAACGGCCCCCCGGAAAAACGCTTCCTCGGCGCGTTCACTAGGAAAGCGCCCATAATCCGATGGATTTTCTCCTGCTAGCCCTGGTTTTGGAAAAGTGACAGTACCACCCTAAAGAGGGTCGTAAAATGGAGTGAAGCGGAACGGAAAGTGCTACACGGGGTCAGGGGGTGAACTAGCTGCGGTGATTTGGGAATTTTTGAGAGAGAGAAAGAGACAGCGAGAGAGAAAGAGAGCGAGAGAGCGAGAGAGAGAGAGCGAGAGAGAGGAGCAAGAGAGTGATAGCGAGAAAGAGAAAGATCAGAGATCTTTGCGGAAAATTTTGGAATGAATAGGTCAGGCGCCATTAACCAAGGGCTAGCGAGCAGAGAATCTTTAGGTTTTTTTCAAAAAAAAAGATGAAATGGAATTGAGCCCTCCGGGGGGTGAGAGTGTCGGCGGGACGAAGCTGCCCCCGTTGTGAGGATCGTGGCGTACTGGTCTGGATATTGGGGGAAATGGGGGGATGGCCTTGACACGGTCCCCTCCATCCCCCCAGCCAACAGATAGCCATCCCTCTACTATCCCCCCTTCTAGCCCTTCTAACATCACAAAAAAGAGGGGATTGACCAGAGAAGGGGAAAGCGAGAGTTCCCAAAGCTGATCGTCTCGATGACCCCTGGAGGAGTGGGGGAGGTGAAGTCTAAGCCTAAGTCTAACCTAAGCCCATGCCAAATCCAATGCCAAAGCCTGCCTGAGCGTAAGCCGAAGCCTCAGCTGAAGCCAAAACCTACGCCTAAGCCTAAATCTAAGCCAAAGTCAAAGCCCCACCCAAGCCTATGCCATAGCTCAAGCCTAAGCCGAAGCCTAAGCCTAAACCTAGGCCTGAGCCTAACTAGGGAATGGTTTCGAGCGGACATCGGACCTAGATATGTGAGTATGTGCATCTTGTAGATCTCGACGAGACGAATCGATTGATGTAACTTTTAGCTGCCAACGCCGTTAAATAAAAAAGTTACAACGATTTAAAGTTTGTCTGGCATGCCTTCATAATCCCTCCCCGCAACCCTGTCTCCATGGTCTGGTGTCCTAGTGGTCTAGTGGTCGGCGTCTGGGGCACTAACGAGGGTTCGAACCCGCTCACGATTTTTATTTTTTGCTTTTTTGTCCGAAGGTTCCTCATTGCTGTCTGAAGGCCGCGAAAAACTTTTTGTGCATGAGTTATACACCAAGAAGCGCTCCCAGTAAAAATACAGCTTCGGGAGAAAGCTTTTTCGCTACATTTTGAAAATTTTCACTATATTCATAGTAGGGCTAGTTCAGGACAAAATAAAACATTTTTCATGGAAATTGGGCTACGATACAACGTTGTAAAACAATGTGTCCTCAATTTTGGCGGCCCCTCTAAAGATTTTCGAGCCGTGAACCAGGCACCAGCCAATAGGATCAAAAAATTTAATTTTTCTCCCGAAGCTGTATTTTTACTGGGAGCGCTTCTTGGTGTATAACTCATGCACAAAAAGTTTTTCACGGCCTTCAGACAGCAATGAGGAACCTTCGGACAAAAAAGCAAAAAATAAAAATCGTGAGCGGGTTCGAACCCTCGTTAGTGCCCCAGACGCCGACCACTAGACCACTAGGACACCAGACCATGGCGACAGGGTTGCGGGGAGGGATTATGAAGGCATGCCAGACAAACTTTAAATCGTTGTAACTTTTTTTATTTAAAGGCGTTGGCAGCTAAAAGTTACATCAATCGAATCGTCTCGTCGAGATCTACAAGATGCACATACTCACATATCTAGGTCCGATGTCCGCCCGAAACCATTCCCTAGTAAGCGCAACTGTCAGTCGAAGCATAAGCGTGAGCGCAAGTAAGCCCGGCTTGGGTCAACGCTCAAGTGGTCTAATGTGAATCTGAGCCCAAGCTTCGGTTTTTAACTTTAAGCCGAGCTGCGGAATGCGAAAATGCACAGCCACAAACGTACAAAAAAAACCAAAAGCCACTTTTTTGAAAAACCATTTATTCCAAATTTCACAACTATCAAGGCCTTCCTTGAGGCCGTTTAGTATCCGGTGGGGGCGGCGGCGACGGGTGGCTGCTGTTGATAGTTGTAGCTCGGAGCCTAAAATGTCAATTATCAGGGATTCCTCTACAAGCAGTTATTAACCTACGTTAGATCATCTGAAATTTCGAGGAGCGTACCTGGTTGTAGATGGGCTGGACGATGCTGTCGCTGTAGTATGGCTGGTCGGGGGCCAATTCTGGGGCACAGCAGATGCACCTGTTGATGTCCTTGTCCTCGCCGTGGCGACGGTGGCTGAGGATCAGGCCGCGGACGACGTGCTGAAATAGATCGTCTTTGTTAATTGGACCAGGGCAGGGATTTAAAGAGTGTTTGCTAGATTTCCAGCCCTTTCCTTTCTTTCTCTCTCTCGCTCTTTCTCTCCCTATCTCTCTACTCACCGGGCTAACTCCGGGCACCGGCTGGGCAGAAATTCTGCAGCATCGGGTGCAGTGCTCCTCGAAGACGACGGACAGGCGAGAGCACGTCACGCGGTGGAGGCGGCCTACAAATTCTAATGTCACCACCCCTTTAAAATCCAAAACCCACGATGCCGGTGGAGATGCTCATGACGGTGGCCCCACTCGACGGACGGGGCATACGAGAAGCTCGTGTCGTCGGTGCAAACATGGTCTGGAAAGCAGGTTGATTGAGCGGACGCCTGATTTTGAGCATAAGATTAAAAATGAGCTTGAGCTGAAGTCTAGGCCGTACGGAGCCTAAACATGAATTCAAACCTCATAAATGACTACGTAAACTTACTAACTACAGGATCGTACATGCTGCGCTCCAACCAGGGCAACGGGCCGGCCGGATAGCCGGGACTAAAAATATCTGAATTCCTCCGGGATACTGTAATTCCTACCCAGGCTGTGGTGGGGCGGCAGCAACCGGCTGCGGATATCCACCGTATTGGGCCTGAAAATTGAGGGATACGGTAGCTGAGTACGACAATCTAAGAGCAGAGATCTTAGGAACCTTAACGCTAGACGGATTCTGCCGGAATCTAGGTCAATAGGAATTCTTAAGAAGTCTGGTAGCTAGAATTGATTGAAACAGATTAGCTATTTTTCCAAACTTAACGATCGTGATATTCAAACCCACAGCTACGGTAGCGATGAGGAGACATCCCCAGAGGACGTGGGCGGGTGAAGAAGCCATCGCCGAGCCGAGGGAATGGGCCGGGGAATGAATAGGGAAGAGCCTGAGACCCCGGGTCTGGCTCCTTCCATTAGACATCTAACAACATCACGACTATCTGATCGGAAGTGGGTCTCGGCGGGGATTTTTGCGAAATCGGCATCGATTGCTGGGCCGGAACGCGAAGTTTCTGAAATTTTAGAGAGCGAGAGAGCGAGAGCGAGGGAGAGCGAGAGAGAGGGAGTGAGGGTGAGCGAGAGATAGAAAGAGAGGGACGGAGAGCGAGAGTGATAGAGAGAGAGCGCGCGAGTGAGATAGACATAGGAAAATATAGAGAATCGAAGTTTTGCCTTTAAAGCCACTTTAAAAGATAAGACCAGGTTGAACCATAGTTTTGTTAAATTTTGCAGTGAATCCGTTGGGCGAGCTAGCAGGGATCATTTGAGGTTTTTCACTCATAAATGCGTTGAGCTTAGACTCCACCTTTCCATGGCGTAATGGATTAAGACTGACGGCATCTCATAGATCTTTTCCCCAACAAAATTCCAACATTTTCCCAATTCCCCAAATGGTCTCTGCTAGCTTGCCCAATCTGTCTTCCATTTTCGTTCTTGACTTCCCGGGGCCTTTAAAGGTGTTAAACTTTGCTTCGAAATTCGTTTATTCGCACGTACAGGTATGGACAGATAGGCAATCGAGGACTAGAATAAACACACAAATTGATAAATTCTAGAAATTGCATATAAAAGAGAGAGAGAAAGAGAGAGAGAGAGAGAGAGAGAGAGAGAGAGAGAGATAGCGAGCGAGATAGAGACAGAGAGAAAATGAGAGAGAAAAAGCGACAAACAAGAACTGAATCGAATGCGAGGGAGTAGTGGCAGAACCCGTAATCAATTCACAATCGGGACTTCAGGGGCAAAAAGGCAAAGTTTCGAGGATGGGTGAAAGTCATGTGGCGGGTGGGGGTGTGAAAGAGCACTTTGTCACAAAAATGGAAACAGGGTTCTAAAGAGACATTTCTAATGACTGGATTCCCAAAGGATCTGCGGCGGAACGCCCGAGGCAGCTAGCATAGAGTTTTTAGGAAGTCAGGAATCAGCAGAAAACCGCTTCAAAATCACACAAGCGGAGTGGAGTAGTTCTAAGCCTAAGCTTAAGCTTGGGCTTAGGCTTAGGCGTAGCTTAGGTTTGGGCTTCGGT